ATTGAACGCAGCTTCTATTTGAGAAAGGTGAGCTGGCTTTTATAAAGCAGCAGATAGAATCTGCCACCTGCCACGGTTTAAGGTTTTGTCTGAGAAAACAAAATAAGTGTGAGAACCTAAGTGCCTGGCCTAGTGAGAACTAGCCAGCTAGCTCAGAAAACAGACAGGAGAGAGGCGAGGAGGGGCCCTGGGTCAGGACAAGAAACTCCAGGCTCGGATCAGCCAATTACTTGCATTTTCGTGTGGTGTCCAGTCCCTGTGGGTCCATGACCTGGCTATGGGAAGCACAGATAGAGACAACAGAGGAGGCCTCAAATTTAAATGAGGGCCTCTAGTGGGGAGAATCTTAACAACCTCAGCCAGCATCTCCTGTTCTATCCTCCCAGGTTCTCCCGCCCAGGTTCCTCACTGTCCTCTTCTATAATCTAATCCACTCTATCTAGGCTCTCAGTTGCCCAGAGTACCTCCTGCCCCATCATTGATTTGAACCTTTGATAATTACCTGTTGTAATACCTTTTGTTTTTATTTTTATTTTTCGGTACTGGGTATTGAACTCAGAGGAATTTTATCACTGAGCCACATGACCCCGTCATTTTTTTTAAATCTTTTATTTTGAAACAGGGTTTGCTGTATTGCTGGGGTTGGCCTTGAACTTGGGATCCTCCTGCCTCAGCCTCCCAGAGTCCTGCGCCACCATATTTGGCCCTTTTGTCTTTAAATAATAGGATTTTTAAATTATAAAAGCAGTGCATATTTATATAAAAGGTTTGGGAAATCAGGAGCTTTACAGTTGACTTCTGGCTGTTTTGGAAACTTCTAAGAACAGCGATGCACACAGAGAAGTGGAAAAGGCTCTATCAGCTCCCTAGTGCCCTTTCTTATTTCCCAGAATCCAGCCACAGTTCATGGGCTGCACTGGAAGCCCCAACTTTGCCATGTGCCCCTGTGAATAAAGTCTTTTTTACACAGGAGAGTTCAAATGTAGATACAGAGACTATTAAAGAGACTCCTGTTGCATTGACTTAGAAATCAGTGCAGGGCCAAAGGACAATGACACCAAAATTCACTGTCTGAAAGAAAGGTGGCATTTTACTATGAATATGGGAGATCACACCCTCTTCTTCCTTCCATGGTAGAATGTAGTGTTGTGATGGGATACTGTGTGCCTCTTGGAGAAACTGCAGGAAACAGAGTCACCAAGCTCATAATCTTGCACAACAACATATTGTTATCTGAGTATGGGAGATGGGGTGCAGAGATGTAGAAGCCACCCATCCTGGGGGGTGGCTTGGTTAGACCTGGGGCAGCTGGAACCCCTGGCTGTGAGTTGCCTCCTGTCTTGACCCTTGTTGCTGTACAAGTATTAAATTTTTTTCTGTATGTGTCATGATGTGTCAAAGGTTGGGAAGCACGGCTCTGTTCAATAGATTGCAGCTTTGGTTCTATGAGAGGAAAGATAAAGTTTGTGTTGGCAAGCTTTCTGCTATTATGACAAAACAACTGAGATAATCATATAAGGAGGAAAAGATTGATTTTGGCCTCAGAATTTTAGAGGATTTCAGTCCATGGTAGCTTGTCCCTCTTGCTTTGGGCCTGTGGCAAGGCAGAACATCATAGTGGGGAGCATGTGTTAGAACAAAGCTTCTCGTCTCATGGCAGCTGGAACATTAAAGAGAGAAATGGAAGGAGGCCAGGTTCTGAAAGGTTCCAACTCCCAGGAGTACCTTAGGCTAGAGACTAAACCTTCAACACATGGGCCTTTGGAGGACACTGAAAATCCAAACGGAAGAAAGCTCTTAAGACACACATCCGGAAGTCACTTGAATAAATCTTACAAACTGATAGGACTTTGTAGATTACATCTTGCCCAGACTCCCATTCCATACACATTTTGCACAGATGATCATCAGGTGGATTCCACCTGATGGGAAAGTCAATGCTTCAGAGAGATTCCTACCTTTTATGTGCAACTCTAAATTTTATAAAATTCTTCATTTTATTGAACCAGACATTTCTCCAATTATAGTTCATTATAACATGATGGTAATATTGATTTGACTTTTCTGATCCATAAATTTCCATTTACTTCCCTATAATTCCCACACTTTGACCTGATTCTGTCCTTTGAACCACGTAGAAGAAATTTGTACTATATCATAAGTGGCAGCCCTTCTGACATTGCCCTTCCTATAGGAGTTTTGTTTTAATAAAAGACTAATTTTTAGAATAGTCTTAGATTTACCAAAAAAAAAAAAGAGAGATATAAAAGTTTCCACACACTACTCCCCACCATCTACCCAGTTTTCTTTATTATTTATATCTCATAGTGCATTTGTTATAAATAATGAACCAATATTGATATGTCATAATTAACCAAACTCTATACTTCATGCAGGTTTCCTTAATTTCTACCTAATGTCCTTTGTCTGTTCCAGGATCCCGTATTACATTTAGTTGACATGTCTCTTTAGTCTCCTCTTGGCTCTGACATTTTCTTAAACTTTTCTTGACAGGGCTTTATCCCAAGCCACCTGGACATGTGCACACACGTGCACACATATACATAAATATTTCTACACGTAGCCATCTGTATCTATATTAACTTAAACATGAGCTATATCTACAATTATAGTCCATTATAACATGATGGTAATATTGATCAGACTTTTCTGATCCATAAATTTCCATTCCAACAAAGAGAAACCTGGTTTCTACCATCTGCCTTCAACTTTTTGGGGGGATGGGCACCAGAGATTGAACTCAGGGGCACTCAGCCACTGAGCCATATCCCCAGCTCTGTTCTATATTTTATTTAGAGACAGGGTCTCACTGAGTTGCTTGGTGCCTTGATATTGCTGAGGCTGGTTTTGAACTCGAGATTCTCCTGCCTCAGCCTCCTGAGCTCCTGGGATTACAGGCATTTGCCACCCCGCCCAGCTGCTGTCTACTTCTTAATTGTTCATTTCCAATATATGTATATGACAGTTACCATAATGTTAATCTATGAGAATTTCTCTTTTGTTTTATTCTTTTGTCAAGTTAAGCATCATAGCTCCTTTAGCCATCTTGTTCATCCTCCATCAATTTCATGGGAAATGAGCACAGATCACTTTCTGCATTTTGCAAATGAGGAAAATTGAACTCTATCACTCATTCACATTCAAGGCACTAGTTGAAGTGTTGTGCACACATTAAAGTCATTCTTCCTCACAACAACCTTATGAGCTTGTTAATGATAATATCCTCGAGTAATAGGAGGAGAAGTTAATGACTCGTCCAAATTCAGATAATTAATGAATAGTGGAACTGGATTCAAAATGAAAGAGTGTGACTTCCAAGTTCATGCCCTTGAGTATTGTCATGCCACACAGCTGCTGAAGGAATCTTTCTGAAGGATGGCTTTGCTTTGCACATACCGTACAAACCTTCAGTGGTTCACATTTTCCCATAGGATAAGACCAAGTTTCTTAGCCTAGCTTTCAATGCTTCTGCAACCCACAGCCAACCCTGTGCTCCAGCTTATCCTTTCTGAGCAGTGGAGACCCCTGGAGCATGCCTGGATACTGTTGCTTCTCCTAATGAGCATATCGTCTTCCCTCCTCTCAGTCTAGACCAAGCCCCGTGCATTCCAGAAGTCCCTTTCCCCTCCTCCTGGGCTCATTGCATTTATGGTGGTATCTTCCTTTTTTTTTTTTTTATCGACACTTGACACTCACTGATGTCCTTTGTCTGATATTTAGTCTGGGCTGTATTTTGTTGATGTACTTTCCATTCACCTGTTGGTCTCTCCATTGCATCCTCAATGCCAGCTTGTTGTTACTGCTGATACCTCCGAGTTTTAATATTCGTAAACCTACTTAATGAGAAGTTGGATTCACAATTGCAATATTTCCTCAGATATCATCACAGTCTATTCATAGATAACCACATCTGCATGTGGTGCACATTAGCAAATAAACCAACGTGGTCTGAGACCATGGCCCGTGCTCTGTGAAATCTTCTCTCCCTCAGATTACCTTCATATTCCAGGAGGTCAAGACCGAATATTCTAAATGCCCCCATCAGTACCGCTCTGTGGAGGACTCAGCTGTGCTAAAGGACAATAAATGTTGTACCTCAGTTGCCAATTTAAAAGGGTCTGGCCCCCTGTATCTCAGCTTTAGATGTGCTTCCTTCAGGTCTCTAGGGAAGGTCTGGAAGAAAGAGAATTCTAAGTTTTGTTTCAAAGAACAGAACTTGTGTTCAAACTGAAGGCTGTTTGCTAAACTTTAGTTATTTCAGTGCTGCCTTCATAATTTTTGCCATATCTCATGCTCCCTTTTATTTTTTTACTTGAATTTTGATTTCATCCTAAGTAATAACAACTGCAAAAATCACATGCTTAAAGTGCTTCTTATAGTTTTTCAAATGGATAGCAAAATAAATGCATAGCCATTGGGTGATTGTCTATCTGCATCCTGCACAGAATTATGTCACCTACCCCTGTGGTGTGCTTACTACCTTGGAAAAAATTGTTCTAAGATTGTGGTCTTTTCCTCTCTACCCCTTTCTAGATGTGAAGCCTTTCTGATGAGAGCACTGGTATTCAGGCTGGGCACCTGTGTCCTGGCAGGTTCCACTAAGGCATCTTTGGGCATTTTGAGTTCTGGGCAAGACTAAGAGCATTTTCTTTCCTAAAGAGCAAGATAACATTAGCTCTACTTCTATTCCTTACCATCTACAAGGATGCTGGTTAAGATTGTGTTGGAAGAAAGCATATATTGATTTTTTAAGGTGTGAAAATCATAAGACAAGTGGATCCATCATTAGCACTTCTGGAAAGATTATTTGTGGGTAGTAATTCATTTCATGCATTGAGTACTTCTTTGAGCTTCTTTGAACTCTTCCTAGCTTGGGATCAGGAAAGCTGGCTTCAAGTATACCTTGCTTATTGTAAGGAAATGAAATAAAGGTCCAGGTGGCTTGGGACCTTATTACACTTTTCTTCTACTTGACTCAGGTTGAATATAAGCCTTTGGCTCAAGTCCGGAAGCCACCCTCCAAGATCAGGAACCTCAAAATGACCCGACATTTGCATAAGGTAGGAAGTGTTGGTTAGTGACTTTAGGAAAGGACGAGGGCAGTGGATGGAAGAAATAGCTTTTTACAGGCACTTTTGGCCAACTCAGCATGACAATGAGAGCCCTTTATCCATATCACCATGCTTCTCTCCACACAGTTTTAAACATGGCTATTTGTTGATAGTTAGATTATCTCTTTCCCAATCAGTTAATCAATCAATGTAGGAGGGCAGTGACCCAAGTGAGAAGGTCAAGTCTATAACGTAGCCGTAGAGGAAATGGGAGTTTTTGTTGCATCAAGAAAGATTTGCATTGTATAGCAAAAAGGCCTTCCCCATGTTTGGAAGGTAAAATACTGGAATGAGAATAATAATGGCTATCACTTATGGAATACTCTACATAGTTTCACAAAAGCTATGAGGTAGGTCCCATTTTTGAGAGTGATGAAATAATTAAGGCTGAGAGAAAGAATCAGTGTGACCCATTCAGTGTCTACAGCTAGTGAGTGGTGGAATGGGGAGTCAACCCCAGATCCTGTGTGCTTGATTACTCTGCTCCCTGGAATCTTCTTTTTTTTTCCCTCCAAGAATCTGGGTTTAGGCTCATCCTTGTTGTGGGGAGGAGTCTAGAAGAAATGACCTCTGGAGAATTTTCTTATCTGAGGTTTCTATACCTATCCAATTTCTCTTCTGTAGGGTACAAACACCAACATTACTTCACTCCCTTTTATGGATACCAAGGAGAAGAAGAATGTGATCAACCTCCCACACATCAGCAACAAAATTCTGCTGAAGCCTGGTGTGCTGTCCCGGGTAAGTACAGGGCAGTGGGCATGCTCCTGAGCAGACAGGTGAAAGACCTAGCTTCAGTTCAGAACCACATCTAGAAAAGTCCAGGAAGGTGGGGGAAAGGAGTAGCAGCTAAAGAGTTGGGTTCAAGTCCTTTTCTCACTCTTTGTACTGAATATGAACTTGGGTAAATATGCATTTTACTTTCTCTTACCTACAAAGTGGGCCTTTAGGGAGTTGTCAGGGATGATTCATTGACTAAAGGAAAAATGAAGTTGTGGTGTATAAATGATAGAAGAAAACAAAATCTTGTTTTCCTTCCATGTCATCTACCGTTTTTTTATAGGGACCCAATAAGATACTATGTAGGAAAGTCGTAAGAGGTGTTGTTATATAAATTCAAGTTTACATGTCCTTAAGCAAGTTACTTTATCTAGTTAGGAGCTGGCCTCCTCAAGAGCAATGATAAAAACTGTTCTCATCTCTTTCTACAGTGACACACCCCTGGGGTTGTCAACTGTATGCTCTAATGTGCATGTCTCCTGGGGCATGAGATGAGAATTAGATACTTCCTTTGGGAGAAAGGTGGAGAAAACCTACTGTCTCTTAACTACTGTTTTCTCCCTGGAAAGGTAGGACAAATCCTGTCTGGATGTGAGTGTTTTGGGGCATATAAATAGTTTATGTCCCCCAGAAGAAGTTGAAGTAGTTCTTTATTACCAATTTCTTTCCTTGGACAAGAAATTCAAACGCACAGTAGTAAGCTTCTGAGTACAAGGCTTTAGAAGCACCTTTCCACCCTAGCATGAAGACTCATGAACACAAGGTAGAAGAGAAACCACCAAAGAAGCACAAGGTGCCTCTGACAGCAGCAGGTATGACACTGGTGGGGTGGGCAGTAGCAGCATAGGCGGTGGTTGGGGGGGGGGGGGTCAGTGTTAAGAGCTGAGCTGACCTGGAGAGGGCCTAGTGGCCATATGTTGGAGTAGTCAACTAAGGCTACAAATCAAAATGAAAGAAGTTAAGCCTTTACCCTCTTACTGAAACAGTATAAACAAGAGGTTGGGTAAGAGGAAGTACCAGCATCACACTGTTCTATTACCTACCTTGGAACTATTCAAGGTAAGCGTCAGATGCATTAGTGCAGACAGAGGGCACTGTCTCACTGCCTGGGGAGCCCCAACGAAAGACTTCTGTCATTTTACGGACTTAGGAACAGAGGAAAGTGAGTGGGGAGGAGCTAGGAGTGGACAAGTCCAGAATACTGAAAGTAAAGTGTCCTGAAAATTCTGCCTTTCTCTTGACAAGGGGGTCTTGGCAGAGGTGCTTGAGGCAGGCCTCAGCTGGGTCTCCAATAGAGGGCTCTGAGTGGGGCCTTCTGGGTTAGACAGACTCAGATGCCTTAGAGAATCAGTCGCCTGCCAGGAGAATTTGGTCCTCAGCTGCAGCTCTGGTCAGAGACTACAAGCTCAGGCTGTGGACCAAGTCTGGTGTGGGAAGACAGCTGCCTCTGTGGAGCCTGCCAGATTAAGCCTGGGTAATTGTCTATTGTGAGGTCTGAAAGATCACACACAGTCTTCTGGCAGGAGCTACACTCCTCACGAAGTTCAGAGATTTCATGACCTCTTAGGATTCAAAGGAAGAGAACCAAAGTCCACTTAGCACTTACCATATGCCAACACTGTCCACTGCTCACAGCTTTTCTGCCACAGTGCTGAAGTTGAAATTGTTGTCCTTTTTAAATGATCTCAGGAGTGACCCTCCTGCCAGGAGATGATTTCAGTTCTGAGTTCATTCTGCCTTTACAGAGATGGTATCTGCCTCCTTCTATCTTGGGTCCTGATTTTGTCCTTTGGGCAAGGAACATGCCTTATTTAGCTTTGACATGACTGCTCTTCGGGTATATGAAGACAGTGGCCTTGTGCTCTATGTCTTTTTTTCTTTCTTTCTCCTCACAGTTCAACTTTTCAGCAGTTTGTCAAATAACATGGTGCCTCCTACCCTGATCCTGGCTTCCTGTCTCTGAGTACTCTTCATTTTATTCAAGTGTGAATCTCACTCCCCACCTGGCCCCCCTTGCCCTAACACAAACGCTCATGTGATCTGTCTCATGTAGATTAGAGAGGCACTAACAAGCATTTCCTCTATGGTTTGAAGTATTAGCTGGCTCCCCTGCAGGCCAGAGTGGGAGTAACCACAGGACTTTTTTTCTTTTTTCTTTTTTTTTTAGTTTTATTGATTTTATTTTTTTTAAATACACGATAGAGAAGTGCATTACATATAGAGCACAATGTTTCATATCTTTGTATATAGAGTATGTTCATGCCAATTCATGCTTTTATACATGTACTTTTTTGCATTACAATTCTTATATACCACAGTTTTTCATATCTGTTTATATATAAAGTATATTAACACCCAATTTGAGTCTTCATACATGTACTTTGGATAATGATGTCCATCATGTTCCACCACCTTGCTAATCCCCTGCCCTCTCCCTTTCCCTCCCACCCCTCTCCCCTATCTAGAATTCATCTAATCCTCCCATGCTCCCCCTCCTTACCCCACTATGAGTCTGCCTCCTTATATCAGAGAAAACATTCAGCATTTGTTTTTTGGGGATTGGCTAACTTCACTTAGCATTATCTTCTCCAATGCCATCCATTTACCTGTAAATGCCATGATTTTATTCTCTTTTATTGCTGAGTAAAATTCCATTGTGTATATATGCCACATTTTTTTTATCCATTCATCCACTGAAGAGCATCTAGGTTGACTCCACAGTTTAGCTATTGTGAATTGTGCTGCTATAAACATGGATGTGGCTGTGTTCCTATAGTATGCTGTTTTTTAAAAAAGGTACACTCATACGTTACTGGTGGGACTGCAAATTGATACAGCCAATTTAGAAAGCAGTATGGAGATTCCTTGGAAATCTGGGACTAGAACCACTGTTAGTTTGACCCAGCTATCCTTCTCCTTGGACTATACCACTGGACTTTTAAAGTTGCTTTTATGTCACCTGCCTGGTCCAGAAAACTTGTAGTTTTCAAACCTTCTCAAAATAAACTATTTGTCTGACCTGATTCCACATGAACTTGGACAAATATCACCTTAATGGTACACTATTGTTATAGGCTTTACTTCTGGACTTATTATTTTAAATATTTATAATAATAATGATAATAATAATAATTCATATTTTGCAGCAACCCATAGCTCTTGGGGCACTAAATTCTCTTTTCCCTTATGTTTGTGTTGTCATATTGAATTTTTTAAAATAGTTCCAAAACCTTGGCATTTATCCTTGTTATATTTCCTCGTGGGAATATTCTCCATGCATTATCTTTAAGAAACCACCTATTTGAGGAAAAGGCTCATGAACTAGAAAAGATATCACATCATCTGCACTTTCGGTAATACCCTTGTTGCCTCAACTTAACTAACAATTATCCGGTTTTTTCACATAGAAGCCCTAAAGAATTTTAAGAGTAAGCTGTCTCCTTATGAGCAAAGTGAAATCCTGGTCTACACAGAGCTATGGTCCCTGGGGCTTGATGCTGAGAAACTCAATGTGGCTCCAGAGAAATTCAGCAAGACAAGTTTTGATGATGAACATGGCTCCTATCTGAAGGTGATGAGGGAGGAGGTCATGGTGACCTCAGGTGGCTTGGGTGCAACAGAGAGTATGGAAAGGAAAGCAAAAGGGGATATTTTATAATGTTTTGTGTTGAGATGACAGGAACTAGACATTCCAACAGATGCTAATGAGTGCTAAACCAAATAAACACCTTGTTTAAACATGAAATTTAGTATGCAAAATCTTCTAACAGAATGGTGATTTTCTTCAAGGGTATTTGGGATAACAAGTTTGCATCCTGAGTGAACTCTCACAGGCTATTCTCTTGCACTGTCCTGGACCCCTTGGAAAAGATCAGACTGGAGTAAGATGCACTTGCCCCTCAATCTCCCTTTTTGTCTCCTCCACACAAGCCTATTCATGGCTCCTTTTGTGTTTTATAGCAGATGTCATTCCCTCCACAGATAAGAATAGTTTTTGTCACTGTAGTGTCCCTCGTGCACAGTGCTTTACTTCATTCCATTTTTCAAAAATTGATTGCAGAGACTCCTCTTTTTCTGACTGTACCTCTGGGGATCCCAGGGTAATGCCTCTTTCTCGCCTGAGGATGAAATCTGGACAGTGACCCCCTCTTCTGAGGATGCCTGCATGAGTGACACTTAGTCCACCAGGCTGTGAGCTGTCTGCACTTTCCTACTTCTGGAAATTCCATCACAATTTGGTTTTAGGATATGAATCTTTGAGGGCTTCATAGAAGAGATAAATTTTCTTAACATCATGTTTCTCAAGTTTGACTGTGCACACAAATCACTTTGGGTTTCTGTTCAGGTGCAGATTTGTGTTTAGCAGGTCTGGGGTGGGATCTGAGATTTTGCATTTCTGAAAAGCATCTTGGTGAAGCCTATACCACAGGTCCTTAGGTAACACTTCTAAGAAGCAAGGATGTGATTTTATCACTCACTCTTCATCTAGAACCCTGGTTTTTAACAATTTTAGGTCAAGGATCCCTTTGAGTATCTTCATCCCAGAAACATTAAGCTATGTATGTGCAATGCTTTGGGGCATTAATGGGTCCTTGGTTAAGAATCTTCAATATAAACATTTTCTCCAATTCAACCACATGTCCACAACCCCTCACTCCTTGCTCCTTCCTTTGCTTTGCCCTACCTGAGTCTAGAGTCTCTAAGAAATTAGCTGGGGTGTCAATACTACCTTTATGGGAATTCACTGGAACTCAGTTCTTTAGTCCCAAATCTTAGAGAAGTATGATTTGCATGGGGAGAGAGGGATAATGTGCATTCTCTGTAAGCTCCAATTTTTATTCCTATTTTATTCCAGCATATACACAAATATATAATTCCTAAACAAATGATAGCTACATTCTCACAACAAATGTTAATTGTAAAATTATTTACTGAGCACCTGTCATAAGCTTGGAATCTATTAGACTCTGAAAATACAAAGGGAACTATCATGAGTCAAGTAAGCACAACCAAAGTCCAAGTTGACATGTAAGCCAATAATTATGAGGCAACCAAACTGATGACATGAAGAAGATAAATGTAAATGCTTGAAAAATATATGCCAAATTTGTGCAGATTCTGTCCCATTTTCATGAAAGACCTTTTAGTCTAGACTAACCCTCTCTGATGTATCAGTAAAATGTTTTACATGCTCAAATTTATGGTGTTGATTCTTCTTTGTGAATAATCCTTTATCCTCAAACACACAGTCACAAACCAACCTGAAAACTTGTACATGCTCATCCCTCACCTCTTTCAAATTCATGTGTAATTGTAGAAAGCTGAGATCAAGAGCCTGATGACCTTAGAAATCATCTTATCCAGATTCTCATCTTCATCTTCACAGATGCGGTCACTCTAGCTCAGAGTACATAAGTGACTTATTTGAAGCCACCTAGCTCAAGTCTTTAATGGAAAATTTCCTGTGGTTTTAACTAAACACCTGGTTTCTTGCACAAGGATAGTCATGGGTGATTCTGGCTCTTAGAAAATATTACTCTCACCAAGAAGTCTGTATTAACTTCAGAAGGGGACTAAATATGAATAAGTATAAGAGAGGAACAAATCTGGTCAGGAAGGAACAGAACAGGCATAAAGCCTTCTCTGATTGATAGAGGCACATCAAGGGTCAGAGATAGAACTCCCCTAAAAGGGAGCTGATGTTGAACTTGAAGAGTCATGAAATGTCCAAAATAGAAAGAACTTTCAGTTTTATCCAGCCCCCTTACTTTTTAGGTCCCAAGAAAGACATGCAGGAAACCAAAGGGCTGGGACTAGCACCCAACATTTCCAAAGACTAACTAATGTTCTTTTCCCTGCTTGACATGGATGGAGCCTGTGGAACTAACTGCCCCTGGCACCACATGGGTGGTCTTGGATCCAGGAGATCACCTAATCACTACAGTAACAGAAAGAAGGGTGGGAGTTCAGAACCACTCCCCTCCAAGGAGTGACCCATGATCTAGGGATGGGGATCCAAGGGCCCTAGGGTCTGGCTCTTTTCCTCACCTCTGGCCTGGCTTCTGCAGGTCCTGCATGACCACATTGCCTACCGCTACGAGGTTCTGGAGACGATTGGAAAAGGGTCCTTTGGACAGGTGGCCAAGTGCTTGGATCACAAAAACAATGAGTTGATGGCCCTGAAAATCATCAGGAACAAAAAGAGGTGTGGCTCCATGGATGACATAGGCCATAGAAGATGGATTGCCTGGCTTCTAGCTGCTTCAGGACTCCAAACCTTTCTGCCTCTGCCTCTTCCTCTTATATTTCTCTTCATTCTCCCTTTCCTATTTCTCTCTCTTCATGTCTGAGTCCATGAAGGGGCAAAGCGGAAGTAAGAGTGTGGAATTATTAGTGCTTTCTGCGGTGTTAGACATTTCTGTTGGGGTTGTGGTAGGGTCTGAGAAAACGGGCTAATTGCTGCAGTATGACATGATACCTGTGTTTTCTGTCCTCATTCCCCACCCTCCCTGCCACTCCCCAATCACCTCAGATTTCACTACCAGGCCCTGGTGGAGCTGAGGATCCTGGAAGTCCTCAGAAGGAAGGATAAAGACAACAAGTACAATGTGGTACACATGAAGGACTTTTTCTACTTCCGGAATCACCTCTGCATCACCTTTGAACTTTTGGGGTCAGTCTTTTTGATTCATTTTCTTTTGAAAAGTTGCTTAAGGGAACTTGAAGAAAAACTTTGAAGTCATAAAACTAGATTTTTCTGGGCGTGAATATCTAGTGACTAGTGTAGACATAGCAGTCGCACAGTTATCTAGCAGGTCCAGGAGTGAGGAGAACGGGACCCAAAACGGAGATCTCACCCCATTCCTCAGTAAACCTGTTATCTGCCAGCATACTCATGTTGTGCTTCCCTGGTGCTGAGGACTAAGTACTGAGTAGGTGGAAAGTCCAAAACAAGGCCTCTGCCCTCAAGAGCTAAATTGAAACATGTTTAAAAGGACTTTCTTTGCTATCATGTTCCCCACACACTGGCTTCCCATCTCTATGGTATAGAGGCTGAAACCTAAAAGAACAGGAAGCTGTATGATCAGAGTGGGAAAAGGACTTTAATTCTGAGTAAAGAAGGAGAAGAGCAGATATTTTGGGTAAGAGAGCAGAGTCTTGATTTAAATAGATTGAAATCATTTGGGTGAATATTGGAACTGAAAAAGCATTCTAAATGGGAAAATGCATGCTAATTTGATTATTCTTCTCTCTGAGAAGTCAATATGCTGCAATTTAAACAAGCCCAGAAGACATTTAGCAAAGGAGAAAAATCAGGGTGAACCCTTAGAAGACATATGTTTCTGGATTCCCTGAGTTAGTACTTGGTGCTCCCACGACACCATCACTGATGGTGAGGTTCTAGGAACAGGCTATATTTGAGAGGGAGCATGGGCACTCCCCTCACCATCTCTGATAATTACAAAATGTGTTCTATCCTACCATATGCAACAGGGCATCGTCTTCTGTGGAGCAAAACAGACAGTCCAGGCTGCCTTTCTTGCCCATTAATCACAATGCCCAGTTAGGACATCATTGTACTTTAAAAGGGCTCTGTGAGGTCAAGAGAGGCCAGTGTGTAGAAGGAGAATCCTAAGCCTAGTAAGGTGGAGGTGCCCAGGTCAGGATGGCATTTCTCTGTTGTACCTCTCAAGAATGAATGGCTTGCCAGGCACAATGGTGCACACCTGTAATCCCAGCAGCTCAAGAGACTGAGAAAGGAGGATTGCAAGTTCAAAGCCAGCCTCAGCCATTAGCAAGGCCCTAAGCAACTTATTGAGACCCTATCTCTAAATAAAATATAAAAAAGTGTTGGGGATGTGGCTCAGTGGTTAAGTGTCCCTGGGTTCAATTCCTGGTACCAAAAATATGGCTTTCTAAATACCACCAAGGCTAGATAATCTTAGAAATGGAAGATCAGGAAGAGCCTGCAGAGTCATTTCTAGGTCCTTCTCTTTCCTTCCTATCTTTGTCTCACAGTTTGCACAGAGATCACAAATTGGCAATTTACAAACAAGTTTTTCTTTTTAAAGTGCTTGGCATTAGTTTCCAAGACTTATAAGTTAGCAGATTTCATATAATTGAATATGCTTTTATATAATATTTCAGGATTCTACCTCTCTAGAGAACTGAGGATTATCTGGCAAGAGCCAGCCTTCATTATAGCAAAGCCACAGTTAGATGGGACCAAGCAGCCACACTTGTCTTTAATAGAGTAGGAGTCCCTCATTTACCTTAGCTCTTGTCAGCACACTCTCTTTCTCCTTTACCTACAATATTTAGATAATCTTGTTAGGTCAGGGTAGGAATGACTTGGTTGAGTGACTGGTGGGCTTCCGGGGCCCTTCCAAGGGCCTGAGAACTATGACTATTATAGAAATTTGATCCAATCTCTGAACCCACACATGTAAATGAAGTACTTAAGTGGCTTTGTCATGAAAGAAATCAGGGTACATTGGAGAATCCAGCATGTTTGAGTGCCAATCTGGGTCTACCCTGAGTCACTGAGAAGGCTCAGTTTATCAGAAAGAAAAACCTTGCCTACTGATTTGAGATTTACTTGCTTCTAGAAGGGAATCCAGATAACACAGGATTACTTGAAGGTTCAAACTTGGATACTTTTTATACTCATCACTTTTTCTGTCTTTCCCAGAATCAACTAGTATGAGTTGATGAAGAGTAATAGCTTTCAAGGTTTCAGTCTATCGGTAGTTCGGCACTTCACGCTCTCTGTATTGAAGTGCTTGCAAATGCTTTACGTAGAGAAAATCATCCACTGTGATCTCAAGCCTGTGAGTATAACCTCTGTCCTGCCAGGAGAGCAGGTTCTCTTTAGTGGCAGTTAGGGCAGCCAGCATGGCCAGGGCTTCCAGAGTGGCAGCCCTAAATTTCCTGCTTATAGGCTAAGTGAGATGCAGTGAAGCCTGAGGCACACATTTTGGAAGGACTAAGAGAGGTGTAGTGTACTTGAGGCAGCTAAGAACCAGAGGGGTTTCCTGCAGAAGTGGTAGGGGTGGGTGGTGGCTGTCTTGAGCATCAAGATGTTCCACAAGTAGTTGTGGGGGTCTGGATTTACCCACTTTTGCCCTTTCAATCGTTAGTCGCTTATAGTTCTTAAGAATTCTTGCTGGATTCTAGAGTTTTCCCTTATCTGTTCTGCAGAGGCTTGTGCCATTCACGAAGATGGATCATTCTTCTACTCTGCTCTGCTAAGTCCTTACTAGATCCACTGTACTCTGTGTTGCTCCTCAGGTATGGCCCACCTCAGACCACTTCCTCTCCTTCAGTGGCTGTGCCCTTCTTACTTGTCATGCTAGTATTGTATTCTTAGCTCATTCTGTGTCTCCCACTGGACTGCAAGCTCTCCCAAGGTCAGACTGTTATGTCCCCAGGACCTAATATGGTGCCTGTGAGAATAATGGAAGGCAATAAATAAATGCTTGTTAAATGAGCCAATGATTGCCAATATGAAGAAGTAATACTATAGAGGTAGCTAAGGACAACATGTGAGGAACGCTCGTTCCAAAAGTAATCTGACCTTCACAAGGTGAATATCCCTTAAATTCCTTACTCCCTTCTCTGCACCCCCAAACATGATTTAATTTTTTTAAACTGTTACTCATAAATAAAATTGAGGATATTTTTTGTAACTTAATATTGTAAAGATATGGGAGGACATTGCTTTGTTCTCCATTTCCAAATTCCTAACCTTTAGCTTTGCGGTTCCAAAAATTCACAATGCCCATGGTTCTTGGGCTTAGGGAAGTGACTTTCACCAAGGAAATCTGTAAGACACTTAATGGCTAAAATATAAAGTAACAGATTTCCTTGACAAAGTATATCAAGTAGACCAAATATGTGCATCCCTTTGGAAAACATACACACAACCAGCAGGGTATTTTGTGAGTAAAGAATCAGGGAATTATTCTTATGGACTTCATGGTTAGTATGGATGAGCTATGATAGCTCATTGCATTTGTCCCTTCCCTGGAATTCTTTCTACCAAAAAGATGGGAGATGAGAGGGTATGGTAGTCAGCTTTTGGTCCCTGTGATAAAATACCTGAGATAAACTACTTACAAAGAGGAAAGATTTGTTTTGGATCACAGTTTTCAGAGGTTTCACTCCATGGTTGAATGGCTTCAACCATGTGATGAGGCAGAACCTGGCATTAGGAGTTCATGGCAGAGCAAAGCTGTTACCTCATGCGGCTGGGAACCAAAGAAAGAGACAGGGTCCCAATATCCCCTTCAAAGGCACAACCTCAGTGACCTAACTTCCTCCAATTAGTCCCATCTCCTAAAGGACCTACCACCTCTCCACAGTGCCATAGGCTGATAACTAAGCCTTCCACACAGCAAACTTTGGGCTTTTATCATAACAAAGGGCCAGCCCCATCTAGTGAAGGGGTCTTCTTTCCATTGGGCTAGAGACTCACTAGAAATTCTTTTAAGATTTCTGCTAATTATCCTCCTTGCATTAACACAAACATTCTTTAGAAAAGATACCGTGGAGCAAATTTGGATTTTTAGTTTTGGTACCAGAGGCTTCAGAAGAGGCCTGCTATGTCATATGTGCCATGTTATGTACTCAGCACGCAATCACATGATCCATTCATTTGACATGAGATCCTTGAGGCACAAGTAGGACTTTAATCTTCCAATCTCAGCCAGTGCTGAAAGGATAGCCCAGAAGCTCGACCTTGTCATTTCATGGGTTCCCCAAAGTCAGTGTGAGACACACAAACCCCAATCTAACTTATTTAGTTACTTATTCATTTATTTGTTTATTTATGTTCTTTATTGTCATAGTGGTAGGTCTACAGGGGCATTAAACCAATTCAGTGATATTTGTAAGGCAAGTGAGGCACAGAACTGGGTGTGGAAGAAGATATTAATAAACCCACCATCTTCAGGAGTTACATAATCAATATGGGGAAAGATACATGCAAAACAGTGAATAATGAATCCAAAGAAGGTGTAGACTACAAATCAATGGGAAATAAGAGCAAGAGAGTACAATGGAATGTGGAGGAGATGCCAGAGGAGGAGTTTGAAGGTGGTCAGATTTGAACTAGGCCCTGTAGGGATGAGCATTTAAGTAAGTGGAGCACCTTGGACAACATTAATTTTTATAAACTTGACCTGTCTTTTTTCTCTTTGTGCTAGGAAAATATAGTACTATACCAAAAGGGCCAAATCGCAGTTAAAGTTACTGACTTTGGGTCCAGTTGTTATGAGCACCAGAAAGGTAGGTTCCCCACTGTCTTGAGTTCTCCCATTGCAATTTCTCTTCGTTTACACACAAGACTACCTGGGTTCCAATCTAGGATCAGCCATCCAGGGTTACTAGTATGATTTTGAACAAGGTGTTTCACTTCTCTGAGCCTAAGTTTCCTCATCTATAAAATGAGAAATTAGATTCAAATACCATAGAGGCTCTTTAAAGATCTTATATTCTGTGGACATGAAGTTACCAATAAACATTGGGTCACAAAACTAACTACATGTGTATCAGAAACACCTTGGGGCTTTGAAACATTATAGTTTCCAGGACCTCACCCTACTAAATTTCTGGAGAGTGCACAGGAGTTTGCACTTTAGAAAACAGCCATTCTAATGTTTGGGATTTACTGTCCTAGATTCTCTAGGCTTTGTACTTTTTTTCCAAACTAGAATGCAGGAAGTAGCCCTGGAGCACATTTGCATCAACCTTTATTGGATTTGATTTAAGATCAATTAACTTGGCTTCTGTCAAGACTGATGTAGAAAACATGTACCATTCAACAAATGTCTATTTTCTGGTATTCATTATTTGCTGGTTTGGGTACCAAAACCAAAACATGAAATATTACCTGTCCTGGGTTGCTTATGTATAATGTAAGAGACAGAAAGATTAAAAAAAAAAAGTAAAATAAAATAGGTAGAATGATTGGGAAGATACACAGGCTCTATTAAGGGCACGCACACACAAAAAGACTGTGGGACCAGCCTTCCTGGTGTCAGAATGTGTCAGAGGGAGCCCTCTGAGGCTGCAGAAAAGACTATCGGATAGGTATTCCCAAATAGTCTGCAGAACCACTTTGGAGGACCTATCTCCTTAATATATTTTTCCATATGGATCCTATAAGAATTCCATCCAGAAAACAATGCTCCCCATAAAGAACTTGTATGTTTACTCTTTTTAGATATTGGCAACTGTATTAACCTATTAGTTGCTATTTATCTTGGGCTGCCAGGATGCTCAGAACTGAGTTTGCAATTACTGTATACTTGCTTTCTGACGGTAACGTCCTCCTTTATATTTCTCCTGACTTTCCTTTTATCTTTGACTATGAGGCACTATGGAGTATGGATACTGGAATTGGACTTCCTGGTTTCAATTCCCAGCTCTGTTCACTGGAAGCTGAATGACCTTGACAATTCATTTAACCTCAGTTTTCTTATCTTTAAAATTGAGACAAAAATTGTACCTGCTTCATAGGGCTTTTGTAAGGATTGGAAGAATTCATCTACATAAAGCACTTGGGATAGTGCCTGGCACATGCTAAGCACCACACAGGTGCCATTAAATTTATGATTTAAAGTACCCTATATATATGAACTTGGCATAGTACTCAAATTCATTTTGGAAAAGGCATGGTATAAAAGTTGTTTTTAATCAAACATTTATTTTAAGTTAAAGAATTATTACATTCTTATAACCAATCTAAACATTAAAGAAGTGATTATAGCCCCTCTCAATCCAGGAAATCACAACATAGGAAAAATCAAAATGTTCCATTTCCCTGGTTTTAGATTCCTTATCTATAAAATTTAGGCCCCCTACAATATAATCTTCTTTCTATCTTTATTTGCTGAGATTTTTGTTGAGATTTTCTTTTAGTACTTCATTATACTATATATATATATATATATATATATATATATATATAATATATTGAATAGACATTGAATTTAAATTTTGCATTTTGTACACTTCCAATTCTGATATGCTTCCCCCAGTGCCAAATCACAATACTGTCAGAAATTATCTTTCCAAAGCTCACCTGACAGTTTGAAAACTTAGTTTATATTAGTTTTATGGTTTGCTTCTTTAAAAACTTGTCTGACATAAAGTATTTTAAAGTACCCTGCTTTAACTTGCTCAGAACAATGCCTGCTTTGGAGTTCCTTATCAATCATCAGGTTGTTGTGAGGATTTGATGATGTTTTGTTTTTGATGTTACTTTCATCTTGCAGAGCTCAATAGGGTAAGAAGGTGGGGATAGGGGGATTCTAAATTATCTGCCATCTTTAATTGCCAAACTATCCTGGAGAGGGGGCCCTGGAGAGAAAGCCAGCTTGCCCACATCAGATTTCTCTTTTTGCCCTAACAGTATACACCTATATCCAGAGCCGGTTCTACCAAACCCCTGAGGTGATTCTGGGTCACCCCTACAATATGGCCATTGATATGTGGAGCCTGGGCTGCATCTTGGCAGAGCTGTACACGGGTTACCCTCTGTTCCCGGGGGAGAATGAGGTGGAGCAGCTGGCCTGCATCATGGAGGTGAGGAGGAAGGCCTGCTTGGTTGATGTCCTTGGATGGCTTCAGTCCTGACATGGGGCTACATCAGGCTCATCAAGGGCAGTGGCCTGCATACTATTTTTTTTTTCCTTTGGTCAAAGTTTCCCTAAAAGTGTTTTTGAAGTTACATACTTCTTGTACATTTTTGAGAACTAACATTTTTATTATAAATTTACATAGTTTCAAAGGATGCCATTTCCCCCTTAATGTAAATTGTGACATTTAAAAATAAAACTGTTAAAGCAATCTTTCAAATATAGCCAAAAGAATTTAAAAAAAAAAAAAAAAAGAGTGACCTAATACCCACCAAAATCTACCTTTAAAAGGACATGAATAAGTTCTTTAACAGTTGTACCTTTCTTTAACTCTTTTTCCTCCTTGAATGAACTTTTTAAATTCTACCTCATATATAGAATTTTATTCTAATTTAATATAGCTTTATTTTTAAATATATCAATCACTATAACTTCAAATTTTTATTATCATAAGCTCCATGTGTAGAATTTTTTTCTCAAGAGATCACTAAAATAGAACTAGTGCATAAATTAAGATAATTAGTAGGCATAAAATGTGAAATTTTACTTCACATTGTATATACCTCTTAGAAGAATAAATGGAGCTGAGTTTTCTCTTTTTCCCATTAATTCTTATACCTGTAAGTGAACACTACTTCTTTAAAAAAATTTTTTTTAGTTGTTGATAGACCTGTATTTTATTTATTTATATGTGGTGCTGAGAATTGAACCCAGTGCCTCACACATGCTAGGCAAGTGCTCTACCACTGAGCCACAAACCCAGCCCCAACATTACTTCTTGCTACAATGAACAGGCTCAGGACCAGGCCATTACAATACATTGATTGCAAAGATGTGAACCCAGGAAGGAAAGCTGTTCTAGTTATGTTTTCTCATTCTATGACTTTTTCTGAATTCTGTGTAACAATTGAATAATGATCTATCATCAGAAATTATTTTTATCAACCTATCAGCTGAAACAAATAATTGGAAATTATCTGACAAAAAATAGGTAGCGTTCAGTAATGACTTTTGCTTTTTTAACCTGGGAGGACTATTTCCCAGTAAAAAGGCTTTACTAAGACTCATCACAGGATTATTAATCACATCTCATTTTTTTTTCAATGAAGTTTTCTTGTAGAGCTAAATTAGACAAAATGGAGAAAATAACTAAAAATTTGAAAAATTCAAATTTTAGGATTTTCCTAGTAAACTGATAAAAGTTTGACCGTGAATCTCTCTAAATCAAAAGCTAAATTTCTGTTTTCTAGATTGTCTCAAAGTTATTCAGTGACACATGCCTTTGAGAAGTATTAAATATAAATGATTTCATTTGTTGTTTGAAACTAATAATAAAATATTAAAATAATTTAGATGAAAATATCTAGAAATGGTAACTATGGTGGAATCAACACTGGCCTGGGAGTTAGTAAATTTGGGGTCTAGCCCTTGTTCTGACTTTTTGGCAAGTCATTTCCCACTCTGGACTGGAAAATGAAGGGGTCAGACCAGATGACTTCTAAGGTTAGTAATGATTTTATGAAATATCCCTGAACCATTCCTGCTTCTAATACCAAGGTGAATGGGGCATCTGGCTTGAGCTTCCCACTGCCCCAGGACTGACTCAGTTTCCCCTTGATATCTGTAGGGTTGAGGAGCAGGAAGGCAGGATTGTGCATGGATTATGGCCAGAAACCTAGGGCTGAGAGCAACCCATAAATTTCTTTATCTGTACACTCCTATAAGGTTCAGTAGAGAAAAGTGAATAAGTAGGCCTATACTTTTCTTTCCAAGAAGGAATTTATCTTATAAGAAATGCCTTCTCTGGTGATTTGTATCTCCTTTCCCTCCCTTCTCTTCCCGGTGTTCCATGCTGGGGTGTGTCATTCCTAATTCAATGTGATCAGCATGTACCGACATTGAGATCTGGCTGCTATCAAGGTGGCTTGCCTTTGTTGGTGCTGATGTATGTTTAGAATAGCATGTGAATCTTAAGATACTGAGACAGCCCTGGAGACATGAGCTCTGGGTCCGCCATGCTACTGACTTGATGTCATCACTTAATATCCTCAAGTTCTTATCTGTAAAAGGCAAAATGTGGCCAAAGTCCCACCTAGCTCTTAACAGTCTTTGAATCTGTGACTTCACCAAGAGTGAACCAACTACACTGTGCTTGTTGAAGGTGCTGGGTCTGCCGCCAGCCCACTTCATTCAGACGGCCTCCAGGAGACAGACGTTCTTTGGTAAGTCCCCAAGTCTAATCTCTTTATCTCATTGTGTCTAATGAGGTGTCACAGATCTTGAAGGTACTTCCCATACCCTAAATCTCATATTTTGCTTTTCTCCTGTCCCCATACCAAAGGGCAGGATGTGGTTTAGGAGCTTACAGGCAATGAAAAGTGGTCCCAGATTGCATGCTGGAGATGAGATGGGTGAAATCACAAGGGGAATGGGTTCTTGGCAATACAAATGCATTGGAGCAGGAGAATGATCAGGTTCCCACTCAGAAGACC